CCCTGCGGAGCGCAGACCATACCCAGCCAGCAGGGCGGACTCCTAAGTTGTTCTGCACCCATCACCGAGCTACAAGCCTGCAGGTCTGGGGTATGCCCGCCTTTCCCCCTCGATGCCGTCCTGTGGCGTTTAGTCCTTTTTTGTCGTTTGCCTGTCTTTTACCTTTCCTGCAGCATGGAATGGCTACTGCTGTCTATGTTTGACTTCGCAATGATGCAATATGGCCCTGTTTGACAACGTGTGACTCCTGAAAACTCCACCTACCGCCCCCCGGACTGATCATGCATTTTCTCCTGCCTCAAGGGGTCGGGATGTCGAGGGCGTCTGGATCACCCTCAGGGACTAGCAGCATGGAGCAGAGATGAGGCGCAGCCTCAGACAGGAAAGCTAGCTCGTACTGCCTGTCCTCTAAGACGTCATTGCCAAGGGCAGGTGCACCCCCGACGGACAGAGTACAGGCAGGGTCAGAGACAGAGGCTGTGGCATAGTCAAGGCGGCGGGTAGAGAAAGTCAGCGACAGCAGCGACAAGCGCGTCAGGTCTGGAGAGAGGAACAGACGAGTCGGTAACGAGGGAGGCAAGGACCCGAGGAACAAATGGACTAGCAGCGCGAAGGAAGTCTGAGAAAGGAGGCGGCAGGACAACAAGCGACGACAAAAGAGGCGACAAGAGGAGGGGGGACGTGACGTGTGAGAACGAAGCAACATAGTGTGAGAGCGGGGAACAGGAGAGACAGGACGAGCACAAGAGGGACGGGGAGACCAGACGTGAGACAAAGGCGTCGGGTCAGGAGACAGAGGAGGAGACACAGGAGGGGAACGAGGGGGAAAACGAGCCGAAGACGAGCCCGGCGGAGGTAATACAGGGCGGTAGAAAGGCAGGGGAGGCGACGGCGAAGGAGGCGCAGGCGGGGGGTCGGGGGAAGGAAGATCGAGGAGGCGAAGGGCCGACACCGGCAACGAGTGCTGCTTTTGTGGCTCCACGTTGACAGCATAACCTCTAGCTGCACCACGGCTACCTCCGAGAAGCTCCACGCCAGCACCCCCAGAACGGGAACCCTCTCCAGCACCGGTGCCACCCCCAGGACCCGTGGACCCCTGCGGGGGCTGCGTTTGCGGCAGCGGCGTCTGCGGCTGCGGCCGCGGCGGCAACTGCTGCGGATGCGGCAGCGGCGGCGGCGGCAACTGCTGCGGATGCGACAGCGGCGGCGGCGGCAACAGCGGCGGCGACTGCGGTGACTGCGGAAGAGGAGACAATGGGGCAGAGACCGGCAGCGAGAACGGAGCTGCAGGGCCACCAGAGTCAAACGTCTCCTTGTGCGGGACAACCGACGGGAGGGGAGTGACGCGAGATACACCAGGCGGGGCAGGACGAAGAGGGAAAGGAGCAGGGGCTTCCGGGGGACGGTAACCTGAAACAGGGGCGGGGAAACCGGGAGACCTTTGTTAGGAAAACGGTGGTAGAAGGAGACAGACTCGTCAAAGGTGACGTCATGCGAGTGAAAGAAGCGGTGGGACGACGGGTGGTAAAATTGCCAGTCAGACGAGTCGAGGGGGAAGCCAAGGAAGACACAGGGAACTTTGTGGGCAGTGAGCTTGTCCGTGTCAGAGGCACGAATGTGAGCAAGGCAGCCCCAGACGTGGAACGCAGACGCGTCTCCAGGGAACCCAGTCCAGAGAAGGGTCGGCGAAACCTGCGGACGCTGAGAGTGCGGTCACAAGATAAGCTAGTGAGTGGCGTAGCGAACAGCGAACGGCCACAACAAATGGGGTGCACCGGCATGGATCATGGAGGTACGAGCCACCTCCATGACCAAACCGATGCGTCGCGGTGCAGTGCGATGCGGTGCGGTGTATTGCGGTGCAGAGCGGTGCAGTGCGGTGTAGTGCGGTGCAGAGCGGTGCGGTGCAGTGCGGTGCTGTGTGGTGCAGAGTGGTGAGGGGCGGTGCAGTGCGGTGCTGTATGGCGCGCGGCTACAAAATGGGCGCTGGGGCCGGAGGCGGGCCGGCTGACGAGGAACGGGCGTGGGGCCGGGTAGGAGCAGGCGCAGGGCCGACCAGGGACGGCCGCGGGGCCGACCAAGAAAGGGCGCGGGGCGGTCAGGAACGGGCGCGAGGGCCGGCTAGGAACGGGCGCGGAGGCCAGCTAGGAACGGGCCGGGGGCCAGCTAGGAACGGGCGCTGGGCCGGCTAGGGGCGGGCGCGGGGCCGACTAGGGGGGGGCGTGGGGCTGACAAGGGACAGGCGCGGAGGTCAGCTAGGAACGGGCGCAAGGGCCGGCTGGAACGGGCGCGAGGGCCGGCTAGGAACGGGCGCGAGGGCCGGCTGGAACGGGCACGAGGGCTGGCTGGAACAGGCGCGAGGGCTGGCTAGAACAGGAGCGTGGGCCGTCGAGGAACGGGCGCGAGGGGCCGGCTGGAAAGGGCGCGAGGGCCGGCTAGGAACGGGCGCAGGAGCCGGCTAGGAACGGGCGCGAGGGCCGGCTAGAACGGGCGCGCGGGC